TTCCAACAGGCAAAGAAAGAAGGTAGAAGAGAAAATCTCGAAATCTTTGCCAGCTTCAGCAAAAAGGACCTTGTTATCCCCTGTCAATAATAAGCTTCAAATTTGATTTGGAAATGGAGTGTGCCATGGCTGATTTCAGGTGATCAATAGGGAAGATGACAATATGGAGACATGATATAAACTATATATAGCCAATAAAAATGGATATATGCTGCACGCCAACAGTAAACCTTTGTTAACAACATTTAGATTAGAATCATTGTTCTCTTGCTGTTCTCATACATTCCTTTACTTGTCTTTTAGGTTATGAAATCAATTACCTTGGTTAACAAATTTAATATTCTTCCAACTGGGAATGAGCAAGCAGAAATTGACTTGTATCTATCATTAACTGCATGTGCAGGATTCAATCTGTCATCTTAGGAAGAAGTAAATTATATGTAGATTAAGCAAGAATATTACCCATCATTAATACATCCAAGGGGTTGTTTGTAACACCAGCAGCAATCCAGAAACAGTAAAATGCTTACTTATTTAAACAGAGAGGGATAAGATAATCTATAGCCTTGTGTCAAACTATTCCATTTGAATCAGTCACTGCAACATCTCGGCCCCTTTGTTCCTGAGGAGACAGAAGTAAGACCTCCAGTTGACTGCAAAGAAGTCTTCAACAGCTCTCAGAACCTGATATTTCATAAAACTGTGATGACAAAGAAACTCAGTTAATCTATACTGAAGCACAGCCTAATTACTAAAGGGTTTAAAATGCTGAAGAAAGTTCATTTACGGTCTTTTTTCATGTAACCATATGCAACACTTATCTTAATGTTAGCTCAACCCAGTTTAGGACATCGCTTACACTTTTTTTATTAAAAATACAAAAATTATTTCATGATATCAAAATTCAAATAATAAAAGAAGCAAGACAAGAATTTCTTACTTCTCTCATGCCAAATTCAAACGACTCTTTTCTCAGGGCATCGATATCCTTTGACATCTCCTGTAGCAGGTCGAGCTAGATATCATTGACGAGGTGTTACAAACAAGTCCTCTATCACCATATAAGTAACCAATTTATTCACAATACCACCCTACTAACTGAATCGTTCTTCAACAAGACCACATCTACGTACATGATATTATAACACTAGGGTAACGGGTGTTATATTCATCATTCAGATACCTGAGATTTTACCACAAGATTACCACGTTTTTCTTTGGTTGTGAAATAGCTTGGGGCGCAAGGAGGAGAGTGCTGCCTCATGGGGTTTCAAGAGCTCAGATTTATTTGATTGGGTTGCAAGAAGTGCATTCAAGTTTCAAGGCTTGGGTATAACCATAGGTTTTCTATGCAGCAACCATGTCTGCACGGCGGAAGAGCTGATGACAGTTCCAAAATTTAAGGAAAGGAGATTGAGCCAAACAGCACTTTGTTGGCTGTTATCAATCGTTGACTTCAACCTAAACTTGCCTGTGTTTGTGGTCGTGTTGCATGATGATACTTGTTCTGCTCAGGGAAGGAACCGACAATTAGGAAAAGATTTTTCAGGCAAAGTTTGAATCCCCTGCCGGTTTTAATATTTTTAACATCTACGATTATGCTGAAAGAATCCAAGCAAATATAACACACAAATTAAATGAAATAGAACTATTAATCAAGTATCTGATAGGATTCCACTTTGACATGAATTTTGTTTTCTTCAAATTCTTGGCATCTACTCTTATGGCTTTTGAGAAGAAACTAGATTAACCTTTCACACACTAGCATATATTTTGCTGGAGTTTGTGCCAATAGTATTATTGTAGGATAAGAACCATCTCACTCGTCCAGGATTTGAAGAGTTGGCTTTTTGTTTGTAGTTGGAAAAACGAACTTAAAGTACTTTGAATTCTTTATTGATTTCGTTAATATGAACATGGTCATTAAAAAATGTATAGAATACATAATAGAGGATTTTATCTCCATATAGCTTTAGTAAGATATTACACTCTTACTGATGCAAAAAGATGCAAAAATGTTCTTCAAGAAGGTAAACCAGTCAGTCAAGCAAATTTTGCAAAGAGAAATGAATGATGATATCAGACAGCTGAAGTAAACTCATGTATGCCATTTCTCTGCTTCCCAAAATTACGATCCCTTGTGTGGTGAATGTGGGGCAAACTTAGAAGATCCGTTATAAAGCATAAGAAAAGAATGCTTTAGTCATGCTTGTTACAAAATCAATGTCATCATATCAAGAATTACCATTAACGTGAGAGAAATCGAAATATATGTGATTCTAACATGTTTAATCATTTTGAATGTTCAAAGCATTCATCTGCTGAAGACTTAGAATTACCTTCAAGAAAAAGCACTATCGAAATTCAAACTCTGTGAGTACAGCATTATCAAGCAATTCACTATTGCAGTCTCAATCATACAACCAAGCAATGGCTAATATGGTATTATGATGAAATGGAGAAGATAACAACAATAAGGAAGTAACTAAACCTGCTCAGGAAGATATAAAACTAGAAAAGAATTGCCTTAATCGGCTCTTGGGATTTATAACAAATTTTGAAATTTATATAGCTGCAAGTGGAGAAAATTAGAAACAGAGCACATTTTATATCTTAAATTCCTGAAGATATGTACAAAAGAAAGAAGGCCATATCAACAAGGCACGGAAATAAACTTACATCCAGCATGGAGCCTAACTGGACTATCACTTCACCCAACTTGGTGGAGGCCAAAAGATCTTAGAAATATCTGCAAAGAGGTGGACGACAGTCCGATCCTTCAAGTCAAAAATCGCACCATCATTCCGGGCCGAAAACCACAATTGAAGGGACCATGTTTGAAATAAATAGAATTCCCTACATGGAGAACTCTTTAGCCGAAAGAGAGAAGGAACAATCTTCACCCAGAAAAAAAACTTATCCTCCAATCCATCCACCCCCCAACCATCACACATCTCTTCAAGCTTATAGACCTTGAAACAATGCCGTTCATGTCTCATGGCCAGCACTTGACAATTAAAAACAAATCATTAAATGACTTTACCAAGTTGGTCCAAAAAGTGAGCCTTCCAGTGGACCCGCCACTTGAGTAAGTCAAGACGTATAATCCACAGATATGGTAAGACCTTTGGCCGTGGAAGCATAAAACTTGTTACGATGGTAAACTATATCACCAGAAAAATAATTGGGAAGTTATTGAAGACCATTTTTGTCTAAATTTCCACACAACCAGCTCTGATCTATCGCCATAACCGCAAACCCATCAGTCACATCCTGAGACGAAACAACAGCTTTGCTAAAAACAATGGACTTATTAAGTTCATCAACCAATTCAAGTCTGTAGGCTTTAGTACTTCCTTAACCCGATAATCCAACAAGTTGAAAGATTGGGTAACTTTGTCAGCTTGGATAACTTGTTGGACAAAACTCCAAGATCAAGGCTAGAGAGTGGATCCTGAAGTCGGACTTTACCGGAGTTAACTCTTGGATTTTGACTAACCATGTCAGTGGTTTGGCATGGATAGAGATTGGGGGAAGGGGTTGGATAGCGTAAAAAGTGAAGTGGGCAAGTTCCAAATGTCCAGGAGAAGTGTGATAGAGTGGACGTTGGAGGGACAGAAATGTTGAGTGTGAAAGTGGGGTCGGAGAAGGGAGTGAGGAACGAAAAGAGTTACAAATGGCGCGAAACGAAGGATATCCATTCTTTCGTGGATGCGTTTTGCGATGGAGATGAGTAGTAGGTTAGGAAGAGAGGACCAAAGACGAAGAACGTCCAGCTTGGCGAAGAAGAAGATGACGATGATGTTGATGCTGATTGATCTTGATGGAGTGCTCCAGTTAATGGTGGTGCCATTTACGGTATCTTCCTTTATTCCTTCTCCCAGCAGCAAGAAGAAGGAATGAATCTAAAGTAATTGATGGGTACGCGGTTGAGGAAACCATATTTGTGGTTTAAAATAGTCAATTTGTCGTTTAACGGATTTTCACGCGGCTGTAGCTCTGAGTGTGACACTTTTTCTTTCAGAAAAATTATGGTCTATGAAACACGCTCAAACCTGAGAAGGATCGATGTAATTTCCACGTCTCTGCAACTTCACTGGAAAACTTCTATTTTATTGTCAAATGTACCGGAAGACAAAAGAAATAAACTGTTAGCTTGATCACTGACATGTCATTAAACTGAAACCATGCTATGCCTAAGCCATGTCCGGCAAAAAAATGGTAATCGGATCTGATTCACACTGACAGTAAAAAAGCAGAGGGTAGATGGGGAAAATGAACATAGGATTATTAGCAACATAGATCGATTAAGCTTGGAACTATGAACTAGAATTTGTAACAAAGCTTGCAACAAGTTATTAGACCGTACAAACTTCCTTAATAAATGTTCAAGCCTTCACTCTGACAAAGAAAAAGGGAAAAAAAAAAGGTCTTTGAGCAGGTGACTGTTAATTAACAGAAAAAACAGTAATGAAACAATTATTGAAATAATATATATAAAAATGTTCTTTTGTGACATTATATATGTATTGCTCCTTGAAATCAAAATTATATTCTATTTCTGATTCATATATTCTGGCAAACATGACATGCCAAAGTGATGCAAAATTTTAAAACAAATCAGATGAACACATATATGCCCAATTTCTCTGCATCCCACAATTAGAATGACTGGTTGCAGGATTGAATTAGTGGCAACTAGAAAAATCATTAGAAGCAGAAGAAAATGAATGCTTCTAGCCATGCCAGTTACAAGATTAATGTCACCCATATCAAAATTACCATTAACCTTGGTTTGAGAGAATTATAATATACGATTCTAGCAGTAAAATCTTCATTTTACCCGTTCAAAGCTACTGAAACCTTAAGAATCTACTTCAAGAAAGAGCACTATCCAAAAATTCCAAACTGGATGAGCACAGCATTGTCAAGCAATTCACTATTGCAGTCTCAATCATACAAACAAGCAAAGATGAATATGGTATTATGATGAAATGTAGAAGATAAAATAATAAGAAAGCAACTAAACCTGCTCAGAAAAATATGTACTAGAAAGAAAAAATTGCCTTAATCAGCTCTTGGGATTCATAACAAATTTTCAGTTTCTATTAGCTGCAACTGGAGAAAATTAGAAACAGAGCACTTTTTTTATATCTTACCTGAATTAAAATAAAGCGATTTATATATCATAAATACGAATTAAGGCCATATCAACGAGGCACAGAAAATAAACAGTTACATTCAGCATCAGCATGAAGCCTAATTGGACTATCTCTTCACCCATCTTGGTGGAGGCCAAAAGATCTTAGAATGCTCAGCAAAGAGGCGGCGAACAGTCCGATCCTTCAAGTCGAAAATCCCACCATCTGTTCCAGGGAGACAACCATCATTCCTAAAAGGTCCATGTTTGAAATAAACAGAATTCCCTTTACATCCAGGGAACTCTTTAGCAGAAATAGAGAAGGAACAATCATCACCAAGAAAAAAAGCTCTATCCTCCAATCCATCCACCACTTCAACCCACTCACCTATCTCTTCATCAAGTTTATAAACCTTAAAATCATTTCGCTCATCTTTCCATGCCCAGAACTTAACAATTACAAATAAATCATCAAAAGACTTTACCAAATTGGTCCAAAAAGTGAGTGTCTCTAGAGGACCTGCAACTTGAGTAACAGTCAAAGAATTACAATCCACAGATACTGTAAGACCTCTGGCCGTGGCAGCATAGAACTTATGATTATGGTAAATTATATCACCAGAAAAACTATTATTGAAGCGTATTCTAGACCATTTCTTGTCTAAATTTCTCCAAACAACCAGGTTTCCTTGAACTATCGCCATAACTGCAAACCCATCATCAATCCCATCATGAGACGAAACAACAGCTTTACTAAAAACAACAGGCTCGTCAAATTGATGAACTAATTCAATTCTGTATGCTTTGGCCACTTCCTTGACCCGATAATCCAATAAGTTGAAAGACCTGGGTAACTTTCTTGACTTGTATAACTTGTTGGACGAATTTCCAAGACCAAGTCGAGAGAGTGGATCCTCAAGTCGGACTTTGCCGGAGTTCAATTCTTGGATCTTGACTAACCATGTTTCTGTGGATTGGCGTGGATAGGAGATTGGGGTAAGGGGCTGGATCGCATAAAAGGTGAAGCGGGCGAGTTCCAAACATCCTGGAGAAGCGTGATGGACGGAGGTCGCAGGGATGGAAATGTTGAGTGAAAGTGGAGATAGAGGTTTTGGCGGAGGAGGGATTGAAGAACGGAATGATTTACAAATGGCGCGTAAACAAAGGACATCGATTCTTTTGTGGAGGCGCTTTGCAACGGAGATAAGTAGGTCTTCGGGAAGAGTGGACCAATCAGAGGTGGTGGAGTTGTCCATGGTTAGTAAAGAAGAAGAAGAAGAAAACGATGATCTTGATGCAATTAAGCGAAGAAAGAGGAATCAAAAGTGGTGGGTTACTATTGTTTGTTGAGTTAAATATAAATTACATTACATTAAACATATTTCATTTGCCACCTATACAATTTTAAAATAAACATTGAGGACCCCTTTCCTGTAACTTCGGCATATATTCAACTACCCATAAAAGAGGACAAAATCCATTAAAATGGTGCGGAATTTTAAGCCACTAAGGTGGGCTCATGAAATTGGAGTGGGTTTAATATGAAGAAGTATCAATAATTGAAAAGAAAAAGGGTTCTTCCAGCAGCTAACATTAAATAAACATAGCAGATTAATGGCAACGAAAAACTAATATTGATAAAAATTGTGAAGGAAGCAAGCGACTGCTATCATAAGCATCAGCACTTGGTGGACACTAACATCACCATATCGGCAATACAAAAAGATCAATTAAAAAGGATGACGGAAGTTAGAAGATTTCATCACCCAAAAACACTCAGAAAACAACTTCCAAGAGTAAAACTGGCTGTCAACTCTGGAGACAAAGCAAAAAACTTTATTTCTTCTCCCACATTTACAGTTCAAAAACCCCCAACTTCAAATCTTATGCACTCTTATTCTCAAAGAAGACGGTAGTTAAAACATTCTTGCATTCCATGGATGCCTTCAGCAGCTTCAGACCCTGACAAGATATCAAACATATAGATCTTTAAACACTTTTACATATATACATACGTATGCAAATGCAACAAGACAGTAGGTATGGAAATACCTCGTAGATGCCGAAATCGACAACTCTCTCCTCAAGTGCACCTACGTCTTTAACATTAAACCTTTTAAGCAAAGAAATAATAGATATAGTAGACATTGGCATCACCATGTAAGTCACCGTCCCTTTAACAAAACCTCCATCAACAACTGTCTCCTTGTCCACGGCATCTTCAGGAATAAGCTCATCAGGGTGAATTTCTTCCTCGCAATAAGGGCAAACCAAGTTTGGAACATCATCCCCATTTTTTTGACAGTTAGAACATAAGTAAACCTTTGCTGTCTTTAATTCAAGATTCAAAAGAGGGATGTCAGTGGCACATTTTGAAGATCTAAGATTTAGCAGTATGTTCTTCTTTTGATTTGATTGCATATAGGTTTCACCAGGAGTTTCAATGCTTTCATAGAGATTAGGTAGGCTACCTCCCTTGATATTCTTTCCCAAGAGCTTAACGAGAGTGCCGACAGGCAAAGAAGGAAGGTAGAAGAGAAAATCTATGAAGTCTTTTCCAGCTTCAGCCAAAGGAACATTCTGACCCTTTGTGTCAACTAAAAGCTTCAACCTGACTTTGGAGTCTGCCATGACTATTCTTAGTGTGCAAATGTCATGTGACTGAAGCTGGTTTGTAAACTTACGTAGGAAAATTAAAATGGTTTGCAAAATAAGGAATGAAGAATATAAATGGTTGCACGCCAGTTTTGAGTCTGATGGGAACTGGATAACGAGGGTGTAGGAAAAGTGAAATAAGGTAGCAGGTAGTGGATCAAGGGGATGTTGGCGGGAAACTTCCGTGGGTTTAGGCTGTGACAGGGCAATTAGGGTTGAGAGTTGGGACAGCGGAGGAATTCAGAGAGAGTGAGAGAGAGAGAGAGAGCTGGGGGATAAAAAGAGAAGGAGAGAGCATATTAGAGGCAGAGAAGAATATAGGAAAATTTGGGAGGAACTAACCTCGAAGTTAGCAAGTAGGGAGGCTCTGACCCTAAAGTCTAACGTTGTTTTTCTTTTCATATTTTGATTTTGTCTTTTTGGTTGATGTGCTAGGTGTATTTTGTTGTTTTTACTGCCATTTGTGACGTCTCTCAAGCATTCTATCAAACACTTGGTGTGCGTCATCTTGATACTCTAGAGTTCTTTTGAATCTTCTAGAATACTCTTGTATTTGCTAGACTCTTATAATTAATACGGTAGTTGGTAGTTGGTAGGTGGTAGTTTAGAGTTAACTAATTTCTACTGTTGATTGTGGAAGATCTAGACCGTTCATTATAAGCTCTATCTACTATAAAAGGGGGAGACCTTCTTTTGGTCAAACCATCCAAGAATTGTAAAGCATTCTCTTATTAGTAAAGAGTTCTCTCTTCTAGCATCTCTTGTGACTTTGTGTGAGTGTTCTCTTATTCTCAAGGTTAGAAGCTTGAGCAAGCAAGGCTGACGTAGGGAAATCGTCGGGAGATTGGCGACTAAGGCCGCACAAGTCCGCAGGCAAATAGTCGGGTCATGACATTTGGTATCAGAGCGGAAGACTCTTGGTTCGAGATGTCGTCTGAAGTTTGTCATGAAGAGCAAAGGGGAAGGGAGGCCAATCCTAACCCCAATCCTTCCAAGAAGAACTCTCGAAGAGGGAAGGACAAGTCCATGAACGTGATAGCCTCCATGGAAGCACGGGTGATGCGCAACGAGGTGAATGTTGCCAAAGTGAAGGAGCACCTCGACGTCCTCGATCAAAAGATGGATGACGTGGAAGGCATGGTCAAAACCATGGGAGAGTTTCACCAAAATGTTGCTGAGAAGCACCAAGCTTTTACGGAGTTCCAAGTGGTGGTGTTGGACTCTTTTAGGGCATTACAAGCTCAAGTGGAAGAGCTTCGATCGGGTTTAGAGGAAAGCAAGGGCTATTAGGCGTTTTATAAGAAGGAGGTGGAAAACGGGGTCGTCACCAATGCCGCACCTCCCACAAGGGTCGAAGTTCCAAGACCGCAAAAGTATAAGGGAAAGTGGGATACCCAAGAGCTAGAAAACTTTTGGTGGTCTATGGAGAGGTACTTTGAAGCTACTAGTGTCCAAAGTGAACAAGAGAGGGTAAACATCGTAACCGGGTATCTTGAAGATCATGCAATCGCGTGGTGGCAACGGAAACATGCTGATGTACAAGGTACGTGCATCATCAACACTTGGGACTTGCTCAAGTGTGAGATCAAGAAGCAATTCTATCCAGGCAACGTATCATATGAAGCACGAAAGAAAATGCGGGAGCTTAAGCACACGGGCCTAATTCCAAGTATGTCGATGAGTTCGCTAAACTAATGTTTCAAGTTGATACTATGAACTCGAAAGATTTGATATTTAATTTTATGGAGGGGCTCCAACCCTGTGCACAAAGGGAGCTCCAAAAGCATCAAGTTGCCAACATCTCCACCGCCCTTATCGAAGCCGACATTCATGTTGACTTCTGCAAGGGCGAACCATCCAAGCCAAAGAAAGATGGCAAGCTTGATTACGGCAAAGATGGGGGAGGGAAGGGAGACAAACCATCTCACCACCGAGAACAGGGAGACAATCCGCCTCACAAGAGGGAATGGTGGAAAGATGGCAAGAATGAATACACCAAGAGAATTGTTATATTTGCGATGGGGATCATTAGATTCGAGATTGCCCCGAGCGCAAGGCCTTTAATGCCATGTTCGAAAAGAAGCAACCTAAAACGCCCACATCCGAGACCACCAACATGGGGTGCCTCCAACTTCTCAATGCCTTGAAGGTAAAGCTCGCACAACCCAAAGTTCAAGATAAGTCCCTTATGCATGTTGAAGCCACCATCAATGGGAAGAAAGTTCAAGCCTTGTTGGACACATGTGCTTCCCACAACTTCATCAAAAATAGCGAGGCAAGACAATTAGACTTCAAGGTGGAGAAATCAGATGGCTGGCTCAAAATGGTGAATGCAGAAGCTAAACCACTTGAGGGCGAGGCTCGGAATGTTGAACTACATCTTGGCACATGGAGCGACAAGGTAACATTTTCAGTTGCACCTTTAGATGACTTTAACCTTGTTCTTGGCATGGAGTTTCTCAGGCAATACAATGCAGTGCCCCTACTACAATACAACTCTATATGCATCCTTGAAGGAGTTTCATGCATGGTTCCGACGGTGAGCAAAACTACACTAAGCAACCAACTCTCCGCAATGCAAATTAAGAAGGGATTTAAGCAAAAAGTGGAGCCGGCACCGAAGGAAATATCCCAAGTCCTTGTAGAATACAAGGATGTCATGCCATCCGAGTTACCGAAATGCCTACCACATAAGAGGGAGGTGGACCATAAGATTGAGTTAGAGCCGGGAGCTAAACCACCCACCAAAGCCCCATACCGGATGTAGTTACCAGAAATAAACAAGTTACGGAGACAACCCAAGGAACTCTTAGAAGCTGGATTCATCAAGCCTTTGAACGCACCATACGAAGCTCATATTCTCTTTCAAAAGAAGCATGATGGGTCGTTTCGCCTTTGCATCGACTGTCGAGCACTGAACAAGGTAACCATCAAGAACAAATATCCCATTCCACTAATTTCTGATTGCTTGATCAACTTGGACAGGCCAAGTATTTCTCTAAGCTCGTTTTGAGATCGGGGTATTACCAAGTGTGGATTGCAGAAGGGGATGAGTCAAAGACCGCATGTATGACGCGTTATGGAGCCTATGAGTTCAAAGTCATGCCTTTCAACCTCACCAATGCCCCTGCCACATTTTGCATCCTCATGAACCACATCTTCCATCCATACCTTGATCGATTTGTGGTGGTCTACCTCGATAACATTGTGGTGTATAACAATACTCTTGAGGAGCATGTCAAGCACTTGCAAACAGTTTTCCGAGTGTTGTGAAAAAATGAGTTGTATGTCAAGTAGGAGAAGTGCTCATTTGCCAAGTCGAAGGTTGAGTTTCTCGCTACAAGATCAAAGATGGGAAACTCATCATGGATGAAGCCAAGGTGAAGGCTATTGCAGAGTGGGAAGCCCCAACAAAGGTTATTAAGTTACGCTCTTTCTTGGGTCTTGTCAACTATTACTGGACATTCATCAAAGGCTATTCCACCATTGCTGCACCACTCACAGATTTGCTTAAGAAGCCTACAAAATGGGAGTAGATGGCTGATCGTCAACATGCCTTTGATTCTTTGAAGAAGGTCATCATGAAGGAGCCGGTGCTAGCATTGCCCAACCATTTGAGGTACATATTGATGCATCTGACTTTACTATTGGAAGTGTGTTAATGCAATATGAACATCTCATAGCATTTGAAAGCCGAAAAATTAATGATACGGAGTGGAATTACAAGGTGCAAGAAAAAGAGATGACTGTCATGGTGCATTGTCTACGCACTTGGCAGCACTATGTGCTTGGGTCCAAGTTCTTGGTGAAGACAAACAATGTGGCAACAAGTTACTTCTAGAGTCAGAAGAAACTCAACTCCAAATAAGTTAGATGGCAAGACTTCTTGGCCGAGTTTGACTATGTGATGGAATACAAGCCTGGAAAAGCCAAATTGGTCGCAAATGCATTGAGTTGGAAGGCCGAGTTTGCAACCATAAGCAATGTACAAGGGGATCTCCTCAAGCTCATAAAAGAGGGTCTCGAGCATGACACATTGGCCAAACAACTCATCTCCTTAGCTCAAGATGGCAAAACCAAGCACTTTTGGGTAGAAGATGGCCTTATTTACACCAAGGGGAGAAGGGTGTATGTTCCAAAGTGGGGGAATTTACGGAGAAACTTGATCAAGGAGTGTCACGACACCAAATGGGTCGAACATCCTGGACAAAGGCGCACCCAAGCACTATTGGAGGCAGCATATTATTGGCCACAAATGCGGGAAAATGTGGAGCAATTTGTGAGAACTTTTCTTGTGTGCCTACAAAATAAGGTGGAACACTGAAGCCCCCAAGGATTGTTGGAGCCGTTGGCCATACCAAGTAGACCATGGGAAAGCATCTCAATGGATTTCATAGTGTGTTTACCGAAATCCAAGGGGTTTAGCACCATTATTGTTGCAATGGATAAGTTGTCAAAGTATGCCACTTTCATCCCTGCACCCAATGAGTGTACAGCGGAAGACACGGCCAAGCTATTTTTCAAGCATGTGGTGAAATATTGGGGCCTCCCAAAGTCTATCATCAGTGATTGGGATAGTCGATTCATAAAGAGATTTTGGACCAAGTTGTTTAAGCTTATGGGGTCAGCGTTACACTTTTCCACAAGCTTTCACCCTCAAACCGATGGGCAAACCAAGAGAGTGAATGTTTTGCTAAAGATATATCTATGACACTTTGTGAGTGCCAACCAACTTGATTGGGCAAAGTTACTCGATGTAGCCCAATTCTCATATAATTTGCAGAGAAGTGAAACCACCAACAAAAGCTCATTCGAAATAGTGATGGGTCAACAACCACTCACACCACACACCTTGGGTACAAGTTCCCTACAGCATTCAAAGTTGCTAAGTCATGGCATGAGCAAACCGACATCACACGAGCGTATCTCGACAAAGCAACCAAGAAGATGAAGAAGTGGGCGGACAAGAAGTGGAGGCATGTGGAGTACAACGTGGGGAATCTAGTACTTGTCAAAATCCTCCCATCACAGCACAAGTCCACCCGTCAACTACACAAAGCCCTTGTCCGAAGATATGAGGGGCCATTTCCCATCATCAAGAGATTCGATAATGTATCCTACAAGCTCGAATTGCCCTCTTGGTTGAGACTTCATCCAATCTTCCATGTGAGTTGTTTGAAGCCATACCATGAAGATGCAGAAGATCTAGGACGGGGAGAATCAAAACAGGCACCATTTAGCAACACCAAGTTCTATGACAAAGAGGTAAAGTGTCTGTTAGACGACCGCGCCATTCGACAAAAAGGTCATCCTCCAAGTGAAGAATATTTCCTCAAATGGAAAGGGTTAACAAAGAGCGAAGCAAGTTAGGAACCCAAAGATGCATTGTGGCAATTCAAAGACAATGTCCAAGAATTCCACGAAGAGTCGACGAGGACGTCTCCGGATTAGGTGGGGGAGAATGTGACGCCTCTCAAGCATTCCACCAAACACTTGGTGTGCATCACCCCAATACTCTAGAGTTCTTTTGAACCTTCTAGAATACTCTTTTATTTGTTAAACTCTTGTAATTAATACGGTAGTTGGTAGATGGTAGTTTAAAGTTAGCCAATCTCCACCGTTGATTGTGGAAGATATAGACCGTCCATTGTAAGTTTCATCTACTATAAAAATGAGAGGCCTTCATTTGGCCAAATCATCTAAAAATTGTAAAGCATTCTCTTATTAGTAAAGAGTTCTCTCTTTTAGCATCTCTTGTGAGTTTGTGTGAGTGTTCTCTTATTGTCAAGGTTAGAAGCTTGAGCGAGCAAGGTTGACTTAGGGCAATCGTCAGGAGATTGGTGCCTAAGGCCGCACGAGTCCGAAGGAAAATAGTCAGGTCGTGACACATTGTTATCAATTTGTTGAATAACTATTTTCTTCCTATTTCTTGGTTGTTATTATTTTACTATTTTGAGTGAGTTTTGGGAGTGGATTCTCATCCGAGTCCCCATTCGTAATTATATATCTTTGTTTAAGATCCTAGTAATAGGAATGAGCTCAAATTTGAAAAATAGCAAATCAAATAATGTTTTTTACAATCACTACTAGGTGGTCAACCATCAATTAGGATTTTTAAGTGTATTATTCAAGAGATTCTGAATTTAATCTATCTAAATTGTTAATAAGAATAATCATTGAAAGAATTTATTCGATACTAATTTTAAAACCCTAAAAAGTTAGTCAAGGTGTGTGTCCAAACTTGCCCAAACGCCACCAGTCAAAAACTAAAAAAGAAAAGACCTTTGTTACGAATCCAAATATCTTTGAATTTAACAGATAGCATAGTCATGTTTTTCAAACTGATTATTTAAATTCGAATAATAGATAGATATTCTCATGATATATAGCTCACATCTATCAACTGTAGCAGCTATTGATATGCAATTAATTTGCATTTAACTCTCTAATTTATTACCAATATTACTTTATTGCGTGTTCAATTGTTATGCTGACTGCCTGACTTGTAACTGTTTTCTGCTTGACTTCTCTCAAAAAAGCTGCTAAATTGATTGCATTGATGTTGATGTGGGGATTGTAAATTTTCATTTTGTTTTGATTTTTTAATTTTGCTGCATTGATCCGAGTGACACAGGTAAAGCACAAGTAAAAAGGTAACAGATTTAATAGAAAAACAGTCATATAAGATTACCAACATAAAAATCCAGTTCCAATATCAAAAAGGAAGCCAGAAGCTTTCGTGGCTCGCCATTGACAATTCCAAACAAATCTGCCGTGCATTCTTAGATGCATTCAGCAGTTTCCGAGAGTAACCAAGTACACAGAAACATGCATCAGACTTTGCAACTCTAGTTACTGCAATGCCATATATATGTAAACAATTTTCATTTATGTATAATTCTTTTTGAAATATGGATGTGAACTTGATGTTAAATTGCGATTTTCATGCACAAAGTTGCACTTTATTTAAGTACCAACATCTAGGCAATGCAAGCATCCAACAAATCAAATTCACTAAAGCAATTCAAAAGTCAAAACAAAATAACAGATCACACTAATATTTAGATTGCATGGAGTTCATATTTCATAACCCAAAAGTTTAAAAAGTAACAAACAAAAAAAAAAAAAAACAGTAGCTTTGAGAATCAAAATGGCTTTTAAGCAAGAAACTTCAATGTTCTGTTCCCCCAGATAGACAATTCCAACAAGCTACAGCCCTGAAGTCTTATTCACCACCTTTAATGGCAAAAAAACACTTGTTAAAACATTCTTGCATTCCATTGACGCCTTCAGCAGCTTCAGACCCTAACAATAGATCAAATGTAAAGATCACTACTTTTACATATATTTGTTTATGCTATAACAAATAACAAAGGAAAATAGCAAATCAACATACCTCTTCAACTCCAAAATCAACAATTTTCTCCTCAAGTGCACTCAAATCCTTAACATTCAACTTGTTAAGCAAAGTAATACCGGATATAGTAGACAGAGGCATCACCTCTAGATTATCCATCACCATATAAGTCACCAAGCCTTTAACAAACCCTCCCTCAACCACAGACTCAGTTTTTGCACATCGTGGAGAAATATAAGTCATCTCTTGCCTCATCTGTGAATTGCATTGAGGACACATCACGTTTGGTTCATCACTCACATTATATTGGTAGGTAGGAGCACTGTAAGAATTACGATTATAATTAGTTGTGTAATTATCACACGTGTAAAACTTTCGAATGTTTGATTCATGGAGAGAAAGCGAAAGAGGGATTTCGGTGGCAGATATAGAAGACTTTGGATTGAGTACAGAGTTCTTGTCATGATGGTTTGGTTGCATGTAGGTTTCACTAAGATTTTCGATGCTCTCATAAAGTTTATCAAGGCAACCCACCGAGATCTTCTCTTTTAAGAGCTTAACCACTGTTCCAACAGGCAGAGAAAATATGTAGAAGAGAAAATCTACAAAGTCTTTACTAGCTTCAGCGAAAAGAACTTTCTTCCCCTTTGTGTCTATAAGAAGCTTCAACCTCACCTTTGAAGTTGCCATGGCGCCCTCACTGTGTTTATTTCTGTGACTTTCTGAAGTTATAAAAGTGAATGTTATTAAAGAGATTAGAGATATACATGAAAGCAATATTGAAATTTGAAAATGTTATACTGATATTAATTCATTTTTAACGTAGATAATTTCTATTTTGTTACTGTTTTCTGATTGACCTTCGCTTTTTTTTTACTGCATCCTGGCTAGCCTGGATCATCTCAGCTAATTTTTCAAGGTTGTGAAGACTACTTCTTGTATTATTAGTAGAGAGCCTACTTATATTGAATCTCTTTATCCTTAACATCAGGTAGATAATTTCAAATTAAAAATAAATTAAATAATAATAAAAAAATTTGCATAACATATGTATTGATAGAAAGCCTCAAATGAAAAAGAACAAAAACAATTGTAAAGATCAGTTGAAGTTTAGTTTCAATCAAGTTACCCACACAATATATTCTGCTGCATCCAAATAATCATTTCCTCATATTTATATGACGTTCTCATCAAGGCATAAACATCAAAAGAAACATAAAAGAGTTAATAATGAAAATACACAGAGATAGTTTAAGCCTTACCTTGACCTCAGGCTACCCAATAACACAAGCACATTCTACAACTTCTGCCCCAATGCTGCTCTTTTTTGTCTTGCGGTGTGGTGGTTGTCGTTGTGGTAGCGTTGGTAACCTTAGTGGTGCGGCTGAGGTTGGAGAATGGGGTAGTGGGGATTTGAGATTTTTGGGTAAATGGATTTTGGGAGAGATTTGATTTAATTAGGAGGAAATGGTTTTGAAATTTTAGGGCTGTCACGCTTTTTAGAAAATTTATACTAATAAGTAAATGACTTAAAATTTTGTAATATTTCCAAAAATATTAACAAATAAATTCCTTATTCCTTTTAGTTCTCTTGAAGAAGAATACATAAAAGAATATCTATATTTATTGTATAAAAGATTTTCAATTATTGAGAAATGCTATCCTTTATAATAAAGTCCTTTTACCATGTTATGAAAGATTTTCTGATTTTGTTTGGCATAAATATGTTATATGTTTGCAGAATTGAGGCCATAAACAAAAATTAATAAAAGCTGGCATTTTTTGGAGGAGAGTGAGAGAGCCAACCCCTGAGTGGCTAAGTGGTTTGATAGAAACTTTTTGGTATATTACTTAAGAGATCTTGCCTGGAGTTTTTATTAGACCAATAGTTCTAGAGTCTTGGGGTATTAGTTGAGGTGTATGTAAGTTGACGTGAACACCCCTGAACAGAGAGAGAGAGAGAGAGAGAGAGAGAGAGAGAGATTCGAGGTTTCTCATTCACTAAACTTATAGCAATACCAAAGATCCAACCACACAAAAATTTTATATATAAAGATAAAATAACAGCAGACACTAAAATTTATAATTAAAACACAATCAATAACACAACAAAGGGCCTACAAAATTGAAAATACCAATCAGGTAAAGCCTTGAAATCTTTTAATTATTTTCTGCCCTTATTCCCATTGAAAACACTTGTGAAAACACTGTTGCATTCCAGAGATGCCTTCAACAGCTTCACACCCTGAAAACAAATAATACAGAAAGCAACATGCTTAAGATTACAGATGAAAACTGAATGAAATAAGCAATCACAAAGATGATAAAACTTTACCTCATCCATGCCAAATTCCACTACCCTTTCTGCAAGTGCATCCACATCCTTAACATTAAACTTGTTAAGCAAAGTAATACCAGATATGGTAGACATTGGCATCACCTCTAAATCATCCATCACCATGTAATCTACCACCCCTTTAACGAACCCTCCTTCACCAGCCGCGTCTGCAGTGATTTCCATGTCTGGAGAAACATAATGAATCTCCTTGCTCATGCTTAACTTGCAGGTAGGACAAATAAAGTTTTTAACATCAGTCACATAGGTATGGTGGTCTGCAAATTATAATCAGACCGTAGAAGAGGTGTTTTAGTGTCACATATTGTTGATCTGGGATTCAGCACTGATTTTTTTATTTTGTTTGGTTGTATATAGATTTCACTAATGCCCTCGTAAAGCTTACCTAGGCTGCCTCCAATTCTATTCTTTCCTAAGAGCTTAACAAAAGTACCGACCGGCAAGGAAAGAAGATAAAAGAGAAAATCTACGAACTCTTTGCCAGCTTCTGCAAACAGGACTTTGTTATTCTCTGTATCAATGAGAAGCTTCAGGTTAATTTTGGAGGCAGCCATGGCTTTTTCTTAGTGTGCGTAAAATTTGTTTTGTTGGTTTTGAACTTGGACCTATTCTATTTATATTGCATTTAATTTTTCGAGGCATGTTGATCATATTAACAGATTAATTAGTCTGATTAAATTTATTCTATCAATGTACCAAACAATATACAAGGAACCGTAATTATCAATGTTTATTCATTTCAAGATTCATTCATAGTTACAGGCATGACATGAAATGAAAAGACTTGATGCTATACATCCAGTCGATTATCAGTCTCTCCGGTTTATCAAGCATGACATGAAAGATTAATGCAATAATTCGTGTTGCAAATTTTCTCTTATCTGTTGATGCCATGGCTCAAAATGCAGTAATAATCATTTATTGCTTTGCTAGTATCCTTAAATATCCTCATTCCAACTCAATTTCTTCATTTCCTCGTTACCCACCACAGTCTAGACCCAACACAAGAATGTGATTTTTTTCATATCATCCCTCCTGATAAAAATTATAGCTATAGTTACTCCATTTCTGAGAAATTAAGTTTCTCTGATCACTGTTGATTAATTCATAAAATCGTTCTATTAAACATTCATGGCGATATTCAGCTTTATGTGTACTAGGAGGTGCCAACAGGTTTCTTGACGGTGGTTGCAGAACTCCAATATTGTTTTAGGCTTTGGAAAGTTTGTACAACCATAGACATTTGATATTTCAGAGAGGTACCGCAAATGCAGCTGAAAAGGTGAAATTGAAAGAGCAGCTAGATTAATACATAACAGGAAATGGAGAAGTTAAGCAACAAAGGTCTAACAAAAGAGCAATTCCCAGCTTTATAACATAAATTTAAACACAATAGACATTAAGAAAAAAAATTCAGACAGAACGATAAGCCTCAATGGTTCACCAAACACCAACACAAAGTCGAATGTTAACAGCCATTTTATTCTTTGTTAAGGGCCTGGCGACAGGGTCAACAGGCAAAGAGAAATGGTTGCCTTTGCCAGAGTCAGAGAAGTGAACTCTGTTATCCTTTTTGTCAACAAGAAGCTTCTACCTCACTTTGTAGACTTCCGAGACATTTCACAAGTATTAACATGTCTTGAACTTAATATCATTCCAGCAATTTATCATGTTGATGAACATCTCTGTCCTTTCGAACTATCATTAACTTATAATGGAAGAATTGAAAGGACTGGCTGCTGAAAGCGTGATACAAAGTTCAGGTTGCCCATTTTTCTGTGTTGTTCTCTGTTGATCATGTCTAAAAATTGTAGTCAACCATTGCATTGCTAGGAAAAAATTAGTGTGTCCAGTGGACAAGGTTAGATGATAGGGGTTGTGCAGTTCCTGCCTTACATAATGTCCCTTAGCGTCCTCATTCAAACTCGAAATCATTCCCCTTTTATCTTGAGACCCAACTCATTCGATCCAAACATCAACTTCCCAGATGTATCACAGAAGAATTTGATTGTTTTCCTTCCTAATAAAAAGTATGCATATAGTCTTTACTCTGAAAACTAATGTTCATTAATAACTAAATAATAACCTTATTGTAACATACAGAGGTAAATTAAATGGATTTGGAAAAGTTGTACTTGGAAGTGCTCTAGTTTCTTGCTAATGGGTAGAGACTGGAGAAATTAGTTTTTGGTTTTAGCCTTTTTAGGCTTTGAGTTCAGTATTGTATGTACATGACAATGATAGAAATTCGATAATTCAGTCTTTGTATATCTTGTATCAAAATACAGACAGAGATTGCGAGATTTAATCACCACCAAATTAAAGCTAGATTAATTGTGAAGAACTGCATTTTAGAAACAAATCCTTCTTTCAACTACCAGACAGAAAAAGAAGCCTCCAAGGATGGCCAAAATTGACATAAATTCCAGTTAGTACAGCCTTCGGATCTTATGGCTCTTCATTTCCTAGGAAAACACTAGTTAAAACTGTTTTCCATTCAAAGATGCCTGCAGCAGTTTCAGACCCTAACAAAAGAATATTAAAATATTTTATTACATGTCTTCCTGAATGCAACAACCACTTACAGAAAGCAATTGATGATGATCATACCTTATCGACGCCAAAATCAACAAACCTCTCTTCAAGTGCATCTAGTCTCTCAACCTGAAGCTTATTGAGCGCAGTAACATAAGATATAGTTGACAGAGGCATTACCTCCAAATTATCTATCCCTGTGTAACTCAACTCAACCCTTTATCAAAACCTGTCTCCTCCAATGTTCCCTTTTCTGCAACCAGTGAAGACGCATAAGGTATCTCTGTGGTCATTTCTCTCTGGCAGCTAGAACAATTCATTTTTGGAACAGCATCCACATTACGATAGATGACAAAGGTATAACTTTCGATTAATCAAGTCACAATCAAACACCAAAAGCTCGAGCTCACTATCACAATTTGTGCACACAAAAACCTCTCTAGTCGTCACTTTGTCATCAGATAGCAAACGAGGGAGTTGAGTGCCCATTGGAGGCTCAGGATTTAAGAGGAAGCTTATTAATTGATTTGGTCAATGATCTCGTTAATGTTACCTAGTCAATCCACCATTCTATTATTTGTTATGCGACTAATGACAGTGCCAACCGGCAAAGAAAGAAGGTAGAAAAGAAAATCTACGAAGTCTTTGCCTGCTCAGCATAGAGAACTTTGTTTCCTTTTTTTCTCAATGATAAGCTTCAACCACGCTTTGGAGACTTCCATGGCTAGCTTTTTAATAGCATCAATATCGATGTCTTATAGAAAGAAGAAAGCTGTGTGTTTGTGTTTTCCGATTTGTCAATCTCCATCTTAATCTCATAAAACGTTATGCATTTTCTTTCTCTTGTCAATATTCTTGACATTCATATCATGAACTCAAGATCCCGCATACGCCTACGTATCAGAAATTGATCTGGGTGGAAGAGCATGGTTGGTTTGGGATTTGAATATTTCTCATCTTATTGGTTTTCTAGTAGCTTTTAAGATCAAGTAACTACTTTACACCATTTATACATCATTTATACTCCACATAATTTTTTAATTATTTTAAATTTTTAATATTATAATAAAATTTTTATAATAAAATGGTCATGGGTAATGAAAATGTGTAAAGGGTGGTATAAATATAACATTACTCTTTAAGTCACGAGTAGTGGGAAATAATTGTCAAATGTGATTTATCGTGTATCAAAAACTAATTTTTCAATTCGTTATCGCGTATTATCATAGCATAGGCATTTTCAAAAAAAAATATAAAATAATAAAAATTAAAAATTAATATCATCTCAAGATTATAACTAGGAATGAATCTAGTAAGGTAAATTTGAACTGTTTTAGTGAATCAGTCGGGTGAAGGAATCTGACCTAAAAATTTTTGGGCCTCGCCCAAATTATTAGAATGCTTATAATATCTCTTGTATTAATATTTTTAAAGATAAGAAATGCTAATAAATTGATACAAAGCCGTACATATTTTAAAGATACAACATCACATATATATTATCAAATACATACAATATATCGAAAATTTTAAAATACATTCTCTAATATATATAATATATCGTTGTCACCCAACGATCATTAAAGGGCTCATAACCTTGGTGAAACCAATGAATTTTCAAAATCGGCTCATCATCAATTGATCTGGAGAATCAGTATGATTTTAGTTTTGGTCATTGATAACTGTAAAAAAGTCTTCATTAAATTGCGGGAAAGGGGACTACAAGGGATCTTAAGTTTTCCTATTAAGAGAAGAATATAACCTTGTAATCTCATACAATAATCGAGAAATGAAATAAGATAAGATGTAGCCCCAACTGAGAGAAAAGGATTTGATCATTATTATCCTGTCTCATTCATCTCATGCCCAACGTTTGCTGTAAAGAGATTCCCAAGTGACAAGAACACCATTTGATTTTTTTCCTAATCTCTTATCTTTTGCGACCAATTAAATTACCTTTTTTTATTATATATATTGAGAAAGGATCATTATTATCCTGTCTCATTCATCTCATGCCATTTTTGTTTTAAGTTTAAGAGATAGGCATGGTTGGTTGGATGGATGGGGGAATTGATGAGAATTGAGAAATTATTATATTAAAAAACTTTTAAAAAAATCATTTTGGATAGAGGTAGAGGTTAGAGGTACGCATAGGCGAGTAAATGCTAAATGATGGGATTGATGAAAAAAAATTATGAATATATTAAAAAGTATTTTAAAATATAATTTTGGCCCCTTTTTTAACACCCTTTTTGGAGGCCCTAGGTAGGGGTTAAGCCGGGCCTGCCTCCAATGTTCCCTTTTCTGCAACCAGTGAAGACGCCTAAGGTATCTCGGTGGTAATTTCTTTCTGGCAGCCGGAACAATTCATGTTTGGAGCAGCAGCCACATTACGATAGATGACAAAGGTATAACTTTTGCATCATCAAACACCAAAAGCTCGAGCTCACTATCACAATTTGTACACACAAAAACCCCTCTAGTCATCACTTTGTTATCAGATAGCAAACGAGGGAGTTGAGTACCCATTGGAGGCTCGGGATTTAAGAGGAAGCTTTTTAATTGATTTGGTTGCATGTAGGATTCACCAAGTTTTCCAACGATCTCGTTAATGTTACCTAGTCAATCCACCATTCTATTTAAGAGAACTTTGTTTCCTTTTTTTCTCAATGATAAGCTTCAACCACGCTTTGGAGACTTCCGTGGCTAGCTTTTTAATAGCATCAATATCGATGTCTTATAGAAAGCAGAGAGCTGTGTGTTTGTGTTTTCCGATTTGTCAATCTCCCCTCTAAATCTCCATAACACGTTATGCTTTTCTTTCTCTTGTCAATATTCTTGACATTCTGAACTCAAGAATTCCCTCATACCCTACGTATCAGAAATTGATCAGGGTGAAGAGCAATGGTTGGTTTGGGATTTAATATTTACTCATCTATTGGTTTCTATATGCTTTTAAGATCAGTAACACTTTTACACCATTTTATTACTCATATGTCTATCCAACAATTTTTTAATTATTTTAATTTTTAATATTAAATAAAATTATTATTAGTAAATGGTCTGGTGTATGAAAATTGTGTAAAAGTTATAAATATACATTACTCTTTAAGATCACGAGTATGGGAACCATAGTTGTCAAATTGAGCATCGTCTCTGTATCAAAAACTTAATTTTTCGTTCATATGCGTATTTATCTAGAGCATTTTTCAAAAATAAAAAAAAAAATTAAAAATTAATATCATCTCCAAGATTAATTAACTAGGAATGAATCTAGTAAGGTAAATTTGAACTGGTTTTAGTGAATCAGGTCGGGTGAAGAGATCCTACCTGAAATATTTGGGCATCGGCCTAAATTTTGAAGAATGTTAATATATCTCTTGTATAATTTTAAAAGATAAAAGAATGCTAATACAAATTGATACAAAGCCTATCATATTTTTAAAGATACGAACGTAACTATCGTATCATCAATACATATCAACTATCAAAATTTAAGTACACTCTTTTTATCAATATTACGACTCACGATTATATCATGAATAATAAACCATGGTGGATCGATGAATTTTCAAAATCGGCTCATCATCATTGATCTAAGAATCAGTATGATTATAGTTTTGGATTCATTGATAACTGTAAACAAAAAGTCTTCATTGAATTGCGGGAAAGGGGACTACAAGACTTAAGTTTTCCTATTAAGAGAAGAATATAACCTTGTAATCTCATACAATATCGAGAAATGAAATAGATAAGATGTAGCCCCACTGAGAGAAAGGATTTGATCATTATTACCTGTCTCATCTCTCATGCCAACGTTTGCTGTAAAGAGATTCCCAAGTGACAAGAACACCATTTGATTTTTTCCTAATCTCTATCTTTTGCACCAATTAAATTACCTTTTTTTTTTATATATATATATATATATATATATAAAAACTAAAGCAGTAGTTGAGTGTCCTCGTAAGAATTACATTTTTTGTCTACTGCTGAAATTAAGACTAAATCTAATCAGAAAAGAAAGGATAATTATTACAGGGGAAAATATTTCCTGTTAAGCATTATTAGATTGCATACTTGAGGGTCGATCATTGTGAAAAATGGCAACTCCACATTGGCAAGGAATATGCTTCAACTGTTCAACACTTTTATTATCAAAAGCACTAAATTTCAATCTAATTATCGTTTTTATATTCAGGGAAGGGCTTTAGCTAAAAGCCTTTTGTTTGGCCACTATTACTTAATTGCATTACTAAATTCAACCCAAAAAAGGCATGGAGGATTATGCTGCAGACCTTAAGAATTGAACTTAACAAAACTTAAGCGATATAGAGGGAAGAGAGAAGAAACAAAAGAGCCTGCACAAGGAAATCTCAATGTTCTATTCTGCCTGAACAAAGGCGTCAGAAATCTGTTCCTAGTAACAATGAATTTACAAGTGCGTTCGGTCTGGAACAAATGATTTTAGGTTGCCAAGATGTTGCATCCCTGTACAACCAATTGGTGAATAGCCACGAACAAACTTGAAAGCAGCACCTGCAAACAAAATAAGAAGAAATACAAAATGAGCTGTTTTTCACGGCTTTTTGATGAAAATCGAAAGTTTTCTTTAACAAACAAAATACAAAGACTAATAGGCACAGCAACATCCTCACTTAACCACAAGCAGCTCCAAAAGTTCTATCCTGGCAGCTACTGACGGCTACACTCACATAATACCCCTGTTCTTTAAAGCATCCACATGGAGAGTAGATAACTCATAATGGGTTCACGAAGGTTTATGCCAGCTTACATCTTAAGTAGATTACTTGGTGTAAACCTAGGCTGGAAGATGAGGATTATATATCACTGGCAGAATCATGAATTATGATCTAAAGAGGAAACACACTAATTTATTGATCTCTACTCATGATTCGTGAATGCCAAAAACCGATGTACTTCTACGAAATGCCCTTGTCTATATTTTGCTATAGATACCAAATAACAGAACAAACCATCCAAAATCATTGCTCATCTAGCCACCTGCCACATCATTAAATAGATTTCCGACACCCATACAGACAGCTCATTATCTTCTCAAAAGATACAAAGATACAGTTGTGCCAGAACTGGAATTTCTTAATTCCTAGGACACAGCAAAAGGTCATTTGCTAGTGTCCAGCTAGTGAATGGTTTGACCAGAAGGACCTCCACAAAAGTCATCCCCATTACCACTCCCAAAAGTCACATGGTAGATCATATAAATATTGTAAGAGTTAAATTCGATTAGATAAAAAATTAGCAAACAACTTACCTCACTAGTTTCGCCAGAGGAGTTTGTTCTGATGTTGGATCGAGTAGTGGACTAAACCAGCTGAAGAAATTTAAAAATAATATGCTACTAGGTCGAACATTCTATTCTGGCCCTTACTACTGCTACAACGTACTCAACCATGCAAGAAATTCCGCTGGCTCTTCATTTTCTTTAATAATCTGTTGATAAGAAGCAGTAAACATGAACATTTAGAACAGAAAAATTAGTCAGCATGTGTACAGGTTGTTTAATTCAAGTGAACTGACTAAAGAATGTCACAAAATAATCTCAAATTGTCAAACCAAAATCAAGTTTTATGATTCCTTTGGATATAGGCTTATTGTGTTTTATGATTCCTTTCGATATAGGCTTATTGTGTGAAAAACTTTAAGCCTCAATGGAGCATGTAAGCAAAAAGCTGATAACTTGAAAGTAACAATAGCTGCCAGAAAAAAGCTAAAAATAGGATATGGAGCAAGAAACACCACAAAAGATTTTTTGATACAGCACATACCACAAAGCTGGAACTATCAACAGAACTAGTAAACAATAACAAATATTACAGATTTTATACACAAAAGAAAACATATAAAACAAACCAAATGTAAGTTCCATACCTTAATTGGGGTGTCCTTTGGTAGACACATCTGAATTAGAATATCATAACCAAATTGATTCCAGTCAATATCTTCTAGATCCCTCGACTCCCGGCTATTATCTAACTGAATCTGACTTTTATCATGACAGAGAGATCTTCCTACCCATAAATACAGAACCCTGGCCGTACTTTTCCCTAAATCTGTACTAGGTGGAAAAATTGCAAAAGCAGATTTCGAGTTTAGATCACTGGAGCCAAAATTAGCAACCTTTTCGAAAGTAGGCCAGCGACACACTAAAGGTTGCATTTGATTACAATTAGCTGTTACGCTTTTTTCCAAACCATTTGGCATATTGGAGTTAGGGCCTTCCCCAAAAGAAAAGTTTCTCAAAGATTCAGCAAAATTATTAACAGGGGTGAATTCCTTGAGACATGAATCAGCACTAGCTACTCTACCTGGAGGTATCTTCAACTGGCTCATGTGAGTTAGTTTTTCTGATCTCTTTCTAATAGCATCCTTGCCCTCAAATACAATTTCTATACTATCTGCTTTACATAATGTGTAACTATTGTCCTTTTTTTTTACAGCATCTTCTTGACCGCTCAAAGTAGCTGGAGTACTGTTTACCTTTACATTACCAGTCATCACCGGCAACTTCAGAGACTTTGACAAGCTACCTCTACGCTCAGCAAGGGAAGGTGAAACTCTTTTAACTGGTGATAAAGAAGACTGAGTAGATGGCAGCCAAGTTCTGTTCACAGCAAGAGATTCTGGTCTGCTAGTGTCTTGAAATGAAGTTTTAGATGTAAGGGACAAATTAGAAAAGTTAGACAAAGTTGAAACCACTGGAAGAGAACACGATGCTGCTGAAGGAGAATCCATTGAGGACTCTGAGAAAGACGTTGAACTGGTACTTGTATCAGAAGACACTGAATCGGGAGAGAGAAAAGGGGGTGAAGAAGATGTAGATGACAATGAAGATGTTGATGATAACGGAGATGATGTACGTAGTAACATCATAGAATCTGAATAAACTCGGGATAGGGATATCTTAGGCACTGAGACAAACTCCTTCATATCACCCGAGGCAAACTTACGCCTAAGCATACTCCAGCTGCTTTCTCTGGCAGGAAGGTGGGTTTCATGTTCATTTTCTGATGATGCAAACGGAGGGACAAAACCCCCCATGATAGCTTTCTGAAAAATCTCATAATCAACATCATATGAATCTACTTTCCTCCCACCAGGACATATCTTAATTGTTGATTCCCCAATCTCCACTTCATTTCTAGATTTATCCATCAAAGGTAAGAAGTTCGAAAAGGCATCCCAAAAATAAGCTGGTTCCTCCCCTTCCTTTATTATTACTATTGGCCCCTGTGCTCTCTCATATCGAACAATTTGACAAACAGCTCCTCTTGCATCCCTTTCCATGATAGTCTCACAGTTCTTACCAATCCAAATATATATAGCAGAGGGTAAATGAACAATAAATGCACCTCTAGAATCAAGAGCCATTGGTGAAGGATCATTCAACATTTTTGGGACTAAATGCAACGGATCATACGGGGAGTGTGGGGCAATCCTATACATCCTCAACAATGAACTGGGGCTAAGAGGGAAGGCATGAACCCTCTTTTGGCACTGTAACAACTGGCATGCAAAACCCATGTTTGGGTCAGCAATACCTCTTGCTGCCTTCACATATTGAAAAGCATCATCAAAACTCTGTCCTTCTCTCCACATAAGATATGCAATAACCAACGATGTGGACCGTGATACCCCTTGACAACAATGAACAAAAACTCTTCCACCTTTTTCCCTCACATCTTCAAAATAATCAAAAACATCATATAAAATGCTAGTAATATCCTCTGATGGACTATCCTGCAACCACAAGGTTCTGTACCCAAAATCTGCTCTGAAATACTCAGGACAAACAAAACCCACACAGTTCAAAATATGAGTAATCCCATTTTGTTTCAATATATTCCTATCCCTCGCAACAGCATCGCCACCAAGATATATATGTTCAGCCACCTTAGAACATTCTTTATCAAAGAACGCAATCTTATCCCTCTTCACGAGCCCACCATTCTTCTCTGAGTTTCGCTGAATTGATGATAAATCCAGCTTCAATCTCTCACCATTCTTGTTCCCACTTGGAGTTGGAGGCTGTGGCCACTCACCAAGATCATCAGAACTCGCCTTGGGCCACTCGTCTAGGCTCCGGCGTGCAATAGATAATGGTTGCAGAGGTGGCAAACAAGACCGTGCCTTAGAATTCTGTTGGGAACGCGGAGTTAATGGGGCAGGAAACCTGCGAATTTGATTGTTGTTTCCACTATTGCTACCATTTGGATCAGCAAAATCTTTCTCTTCAGTTTCAGGGTTCTGAGATGAAGTACGGGAAGCAGACCATGAGGCCGATCGCCAGAACATCTTCCGGGAACTAGGAAGCTGGCAAGAAGCCCGAGGATTACCCGAGTCATCCTCTTTCCCCAACATGCCCACTTCCAGTGCTCAGTAACTCGATAATTTGGGCAAAAGCCAGAAATCTTATGAGCTAAAATTTCTTAATTATACCCACATCAAGAGTTGAACATAGAATCTAAACCAAACCCATCAATCATATAAAAATCCTATATTTTTCACCATGCGCAGCCCACTTCAAAAAAAAAAAAAATCAACAACTCAACTCTCCAAATCTGAGCCAAAAACAGAAATCTGAGCAAACCCTAACTTTAAACCATACCCAGATGAAGAACTCGATTGGAAAATTGAGGCAAACCAAGCAATGTAAAGTAAAAACCCTAATTACTTTCTCAAAAATTGAGTAGAAACACTGTACAAGGTGAACTTATCCCAAATGTGTGAAACAAAAACCCATATCAGATCAAGCACAAACCGCAGACTGAGTCACTGCAAAACAAAAATTATAACAGTAAATCAATAAGTTTATCCATTGAAGTTATGAATTACCTCCACAGAAGTCCCAAAATAAACAAGCAAAACCCCCACTAAATCAATAGAACAAGCAATAAACTTGAACTCACAGAGAAAAAAAAAAAAAACCCAGAAATCAATAACAAAAGTCATCAACCATAAGTGTAAAAACCTAATCTGAATCAGAAACATCGCCTCAACAAACAAAACTTCATAACGCACAAAAAGAAACAAGAAATAAAAATAACAAACTAGTAAAACTCTCTAGGGTTTTTGTTTTTTCTTTTTCTTTTTTTTCCCTTGATGTGCAACAAAACATAAAGAAATACATATATGCTATTACAGAGATGAAAGAAAGCACAACAGAGGCTAAGATTTGAGACTTACAGAGTGAGATAGAGAGAGTAAGGTGTGAAGAAAGAGGTGATTTGTGAGAAGGGTCACACAGAGTGAGTGAAGGAGAGAGAGAGAGAGAGAGAGAGAGGGAAAAATAGAAAAGAAATGGTAATTACGAGTCATTTTCAATGGTACCGTTCTTTCTTTATTTGACTGTGATGAGAGATAGAGAAAGAGAGAGAAAAGAGTTTTTTTTTTTTTTTTCACAAAATGTTTAAATAGATTTTTACTTAAGGATATGTTTGGAATTGGAAGTGATTTTTAAAAAAAGTGCTTCTGTGAGTAAAATATCTAAAAGTACTTTTCTGAGAAAATAAATGTCAAATAATGAAACATTTTTGGAAAGATTTAATAATTTATAGGTTTGTTTGTTAAGTATTAATGGTATTTCACAATTTAATTTTGATTTAAATGGCAAGGCACAGCTTTTATTTCTTTTTATTTCATAAGAAATTTAATAAAATTCCCTTTAATAATCATAAAATCATTAAGATTATTTAGGTTAGTTAAAGTAAAATATTGAGGATTTAATATCATTAAAATTTTCTAGTTTTGATAAAGAATAATTAAAGGGAAAATTTTTAGGAAAAATAGATAAATCAAATTATTATTATTATTATAATGGGATAAATATTAAAAGATAAATGAGAATTAATTGATGATAAGAAAATGACATTTTGTGATGGTGAAGCTATGGGTAAAGGCTATATTTTTAACAAAATAAATAATTATGAGTAATAATTACATGGTTGATATTTGTCCAAGCACTGCCCAATTATGTCTCAATACTACAAAATTTTGACTTGATTATATTTCTAATCTAAACATTACTAATTGACCCAACTACAATAACCTTTATTTATTTATTTTACTTGAGAGATTAAAATAATTGGAATTTTTTTCTTTTTTTTTTTTTTTTTAAGTTAATTTGGATTTTAAAAAGTAGTTGTGAAAAAGTGTCACAACAAACAAACACTCCCTAAAGCATATGCAGATGCTTCTTCAACCTCAAGAAAAGAATTTTTTTTTTTTTTTAAATAACAAATTAATAAAACACACTTTAAATACTTAAAAAATTGTAATGGAAAAAATGGTGCAAGATTCTGATCATTTCTATAATGCCATCCATGAGGGATGAGGCTTTGACCAAATTACAATTTGACATGTGAATGGGACAAAAACAACCTGAAGCTTTATATTTTTTACTCATATTTATCAAGACAGCCCAAAATTTATAAATTATTCTGGATGATCTTTTTATTAGATTAATAGGTAGTTCGATGGAAAAAAGGTAAAAAAAAAAAAGTTTTATGAACTCTTGAGTTCGAATACTTTCACACCCTAATAAGGGTGGTCATTGCCCACTGAGACTCTTACTCGATTAACAGTTTTAAAGTCTAAAAAGATTAGTTGAAGTACGCGTAAACTGGTACGAGTACAGTGATTAAAAAAAATTCAAATAGAGATAATTAATTATACTTATGAGTATGTTTAAATATAGTTTAAATATTCATTATTTGTTACAACTTAAACACTAGAATATGGTTTAAAAACATGGTTAAATAAAAATAAAAAAGGTTACTATAACTGAGAAATGACCTAACTCACCAAACCCATGTTGCACCAATTATATTTAATTTGAAGCATATGTGCCCATCATCTTAACCTAATCACAAGTAAATTTCCCAATTTTTAATTCTCCATACCTTTCTTTCTTTTTAATTAAGTAAAATTACTTTATTTTCACTTAACTTTTTAGAAAAATATATCACGTCATTTATCCGTTATAATCGTCATAATTTATAAAGTAAATGATAAGATTTTAAATATATCCCACATAAAATTTTAATTTAATACAAACTTTGAAGATTGAATTGAAAGTGAGAGATGCATAAAGATTAAAGGCAGAGCACTGTTGATAAGTTTGGGGAAGAAAACAAAGTGTATTTTCTAGTCATATTAATTTTGATTTCTGAAACTAGTACAACACTTTCAGGTTTTGTTTGCTTCAGGAATTGGGAAACCCCATTTTTGAGGTATAGTCAAGAAACTTTAAACTGATAGTCAATGTCAATACAAGGAATTATAGTTAACAATGAAGACTTGAAGATTAACTTATTAAGTTTTAGTCTTTGATGGCTACCATTTTGGTGGTTTTTTTCTAAATTGTTGGACAAGTTAGGATAGAATTGAATTGACTTTGAATTATCTACACTTCTTCTGTTGTCATCTTTTATAATGGGTTTCCAACCTTTCTTCAGAGTGTTTTAGGACTGCAAGCAAAGGTCCCTGTCAAATTTTGTATATACTGTATATTAAATCAAATCAATCACAATGCTAAGATGATGGCATTTGTTATGCCTGGAAAGCGAGGACTGACGTAACCTCTCGTCAGCAAGAGCATCAAGAGCCAATTAGGACTGAGGAAGGTTTTGTATCATCCAGACGCTGCTACGTCACATAGTGACGCAAGGGGCATGGCTCCTGTTAGTGTAGTAGATGAGTGTCAGGCTTACGAGTGGTTAAGGATCATTCACCTGTCCAAGCCCTATATAAGTTGAGGATATTTCTCGTGCAGATAACCAATAGGACGCAAAGAAGGATTTGCACGGCACCTACCCACTTACAGACTTATAATCATTACTTTGAAATCTCCCACTATAAATAGAGGATTTCCTTCTCATCTATATGATTGACTAATCTTAGTCTAAAATAGCTTACATATTCTCTCTCTCTTTTTGTATTCTCTCTAGATTATAACTCAACTCGTTCTACGCGACCTAATTGTACCTATCTATTAATACAATAGCAGTGGATGTATGATTCGTTTTTGAGCATTTGAACCATTTTAAATATCGCTTCTCATCCATTGTTTCATTTCATGTTTCCTTATCACGTGTGATTTCTAAGTTTGTTTACCACTTTACATGTGCGAATCGTTGGTATCAAAATCAAGCATCAGTAACATTTATAGCTTTCTAAAGAAACAGACACACCTGATAAAAAGCTATCACAACACAACAATGTTATTTTGCCAAACTTTGAGACCAGATTAAAATACATTTGAACTCACAAACATTCCAGATTGCAATAACACCATTTGTTACCATACAGACACGGGACTAATGAACATGATTCGGAAGTTTGCAGAACGCTAATGCGTTTATGATGTACATGAGTGCAGAAATGCAGCTTTAGATACATAAAACTTAACTAATTGGGCAACGGAGAATTATTGTTCATAGCATGATCCGGGACCAACTGGAGGACGTCGAGCATAGAAGTTTGTGACCGGAGCAGCTTGAATCCCACGCCTATGCAATAGGCATCTGAAGTAATGCAACCGCGGTAATGCAGTTATGTTGATATTTCCAGAGGAAATGGATTCCCTCCTACTCCACAAGCGCTCTATAGAAACAAAAGGTGGAGAGTGAATGAAAATACACAATCTAAAATGATTTAAGATTAAAACAAAAAGGTTGTACCGTCTGCCTAAAATCAAGAAGGGCATCCATAAATATGAAATACTCTATTTTGTTGCCAGCATACCTGCAGCTGCTGCAGCTCGAGGCCATATTGTTTGCTGAACATTTGAGGTATCAGCAGTCTCACCCCACATGCAAACTTCCCCTCCAAGCACAAGCTCTTGCTTTGTGGAATCATTTATTCCTTCTAATGGCTCAGCAGTATAGAGACGATCCCAAGGGACATCTAGATGGTCAAGATACCAAAACCCTTGATTGCTGTAAATGCATTTAAAACCTTTCGCAACAGCCTTTGGACAGACACCAGAGCCCAACCTATCGCACCAAATGAAAATGTTCAGGTGTGAAAGTCTAGTTCAAATATATATTTGGCTTTGATACATATGTAAAGCTGTAACAGGAACTCACCAGTTATGCACCACCGTCTTTGGATTAAGGTTTTCTGCAAATGCATTGAATGTTTCTTCCCTGAAATGAATATATAAAGATGTATTCATGGTTTTGATATTTTAGGCAATCATATAATTAATATTTATAAGTTGGAAAAAGATATATAACTCATCTATTATTATTTCCATTTATAAATAATTTCAGAAGAAATATTTGCGGCATTATGCACATATTTAAATTCCATTTGCATATTCTTTTGCTGCTATTTCATAAATTTCCCAGACTTTTGATGAGATCCAAGCAAGAACAATGGGATAAAACCAGAGATTTGTCGTGCATAAAACTCCTCAGGCATAGCAACTTAAATATGCTAATTGCATTGGCATAGTTAAGGACAAACCAGTTCACAGGGGTCCAATTTTTTGATATTGCTATTTCTTGAGCTCTGAGTACAAAATATTGATATGCTTCCTTAGCAGTCATGTTGTGATTCCTAAGCCTGCAATCGACATAGACCAGTATAATGAGCAAACATAAATGATGGGTGAATAAACAGCCTGCTTAACTAAGATAGGTAGATCTTGGAAGCAGCAAATATTTTTAACTTATGATGGTTTACATTTGATGTAGATAAGTTATGGATCATGTAACAATGTGCTTGTATGGATACTAACCACTATTCCCTGACTCAAGAAAACAAACTTAAGTGCGGCCTCAAAGTGCAAGCGTGGGACATCACCCTATGGGAAATTCCCATACGGTGAATGAAGAGTATCTTCTTTCTCAATCAATCAAAATCTAAGAACCCTATACTTCCTAAGCTTTGTGATAGATAGAGAGATAGATAGAAGGAAGCCATTGTTTAAATCTTAGTACTCTAGATAAGATGAAGCCAAGTGGTACCAGACATGCCAGGGAAATGTGTTGGTGACAACATATCTTCAAAACAGACCTCCAAAACCCAAAAACTTTAGCATGTTTTTCTATCCTTTTTCACAGATTCTCTTCTTAGATGATAAAACAGGCAGCAGGCTGCAGAAGGAACCCAACAGACAAAAAATAGGTAATACACATTCATCCATTTGATCATATTATCAGTCATTCAGTCATTTCCTAGCTGAACTACATGCTGTTTGATCTATTTGATAGGTTTCTTGAAATAACTGAGTCATCATATAGTAAGTAAAAGATAATCAGCCAAAAGAGTTTGGGCATGTACCACTGCTTCACATGTGGAGTAGAGTCCCAGCAATCTGTCACACATTGTAAAATTTTTAATCAGCAAACATCACAATACAGCAAGCATGAAATTAACACACGAGAGAGCCGCCGGGAGGCAGGGGTGGGGGGGTGGGGTTGGGAGTTTAGTTGGTTAAAAAGCATATAAGTGGGTTGAAGCTTCTTAATCATGGACCCAGAGTTTTTGGGAGGGTCAGTAGATGTTGACAAATTTACTGATCCATTTAGGATATTTCTTTCAGAATCACATTCACTATTCGTCATGTTCAAGACATTTCACAGATGGTATCCATTAACCATTTCTGAGGTTTTCCAATGCCTAACAAAACCTTTAGACTGATGGAAAGATAAAGACTTTTAATGATAAAAAGAAAGAATAGATTTCAGAATCTTCGCCAGGAAGAAGAGTCACTCGGACTAACCTGTATGGACCTCATCACCACCCAAGTGAAACAGCTCAAATGGAAAAATTTTCCTCATATCTGTATTACGAACATTTTACACTCAAATCAGTGGAGAGAAGAAAGATTATATGCCACACTCACCATAAATGAAGTAATATATCAAGACAAAACTGTAAGGCAACAAAGTTTGAAAACATATCTTTATTGACCAAGTTGACTAACGAATCAGCAAACATGAATATCCAGTGCATCAACTATATGTCTAATCAATTGTTATGGTGGTGAAGCAAATGTTGATCCAACAATTAATTCACTTAAACAGAAAGTAACTTGACCATTATCTGAGGAAATGTTTTAAAAGATCTTGACCTGATAGAATCCCAGAGATCACATCAAAAGTAAAATTTTTTGCAACATCAAGTGGCTCTCTACAGGTTGCAGAAGGCCAAAGATCAGGATACCCAGCTCCCCTGCACACAGAATGAATATGAAATTTCATGCAGCAAGAAGTATGTATAACCAATTGAAATGTAGATGAGTCAACAAGCTGCAAATCAGAACAATTTCCACATTTTGGTGCATCAAAATGTAATCTTTCCATTCGTGTCAGACTTCCAGATAACAGTATTACCTAGGCAATTAAAATGAATATAAAAAATATAACTTCAAGTCTCCCAGTTTTACTTGGCTAGGTTCCAAATGAGAAAAACATATCCCCCAGAAAGACACAGATCTAACATTTTTTACCTATCAGAAAAACTTCATGATTTTTTGCTATTGGAACTAAATAATTAAGCTTGCGTATCTGATTTCATTCTCCTTTTAAGCACAGAAATAAGTGACAGTACCAAGGCTGAAATTATCAGGAGCTAGAAAGCTATATCCTTTATATTATAGTATTAGGCGTATAATGTTTGACAAATGTCTTACCATGATTCTGCATGACCAGGGACATCTACTTCTGCCATAACATTGATGCCTGCCACAAATCATACTAATAAAACATAAATAAATATACACTTGAAGCACAATGCCCTAGAGGGAATTCAAAAGACTTTAAACATAAAGTGCACCTCTCATTTTGGCGAAGCTTCATATTGGTACATGAAAACATGAAAAAGAGTCACATTATTAGATTATGGCATGATAAAGTGACATAAAATGTAAAGACAGCAAACCAAATACATCAGAGCACATACTAAGCCATATATTCACTGATAAAGAAAAATTTAAGAAAATTAAATACTTTTGGAAAAGGAGACACATTTTAGGTCATAAGATTTTCAAACACTGAAATCATTATTTAATTTCCTCTCTTCTTCCATAAATTTACCACAGTCATCATCTTTTTTAAATTATTTTAGCCATAGTTTTTTTAATAGGACTCTTAATTTAATACTGTCTTAAAACTTCTTGTTTCCAGCATCCAATGAATAAAGATTATAAATATTAAATCTAACGTGAATTAAGATCACGTGTGAGTTTTTTTCATAGAAGCTGACAATGAATAGGAAGATACTTGGACTAAGGTTCTTAGAATTTTCTAAACACGAGTTGCGTAGGGACTAAATGAGTTATCTAATCTTACTTGACAATTTCATAGGCATCCTCAACTGTGTAGCGTTCCCACTTTGTATATGCACCTTTCCACAAATTTGGATATGTAGGAACTTCAAGAGGAAATGACTCCTCGTCTATGATGTGCCAATGAAAGACATTCTACTGAATTCAACATATTTACACACAAAAAAACAGAAGAAATAAGATGGTGAAGCACTGATGAATGTTCAAATGAAATACAAAATCACCTCAACAAAAGATAAAATAATATACATGGCTAGTGGCATATCTTACAAGTTTAGCATATGACATAGATTCAATTATCTGCTTAATGGTATTCACTGGAAAATAATGCCTCGATGTATCTGAAAAAGATGCAAACACAATGAAATTCAAGTGATACTCCAGGACACAGACACAAAGACAACTGTACGTTCTACAAGAAAACTTGAGCTTACCTAGTAGAAGCCCGCGGAAAGCAAATCTTGGTTTGTCTTTGATGTACCAGGGTGCTTTGTATATTTGTACAGATTTGGTTCCATAATCAAAAGAACACAACTGGCTGAATGTCTAGAACATTGAAGAAGAGAATCATAAATGAGAAAGGAGTCCACATAAATCCAAGCCCATGATAATCTTCTCATATTAGTTGGCGATAATAATTATGCACAAGGGGAAAAATTAACAGATCAGTAATACCTATATGTTACACGCATGTAGCTGAAGAAGTACAAATCCTATCAGACTACATAATAAAGATGAATAAGAGGATGGTAAATAGCTTTTGAACTCCAAGCTATCAGTTATTGTTTTTCTTTGCGTGGGTATATTTGTTCATGAGACAGAGAGAGATAGAGAACATAAGCCATTGCATTGCCAATCTTACAGTCTCTATTGTCCTCACGCATTCACAAATGTCTATTGCCATATTCTGAACCAATCCCCATTATTATCTCTCATTATAAAAATATTAATAAAAAAGACTTAGCTAATCTCCCATTCACATAAAACCCAATATACGGGTACTGATAAATCAATCCATTTTGTAGTCAAGAACTATACAAACTCAATACATATTCATGCCAAATGTAATATGCTATACAGATGTCCCTAGTTTTATGACTAGATGGTAGTAATATGTACCTCCAACCCTCGCAATGCACCATAAACAGTATTCGCCTGCAAGAAAGAAACATAAACATCAATGAAAGTCTCAGAAGGAAAAATGAAAAGAAAATCACACATCGATATCATGAGTAACTGTATTGAACTTGAGAAATAATCCAAAATGATCACTAGTCCATTCAACAGGAATCTAATTTCAACAACTGGAAGCATTATAACTAAGTAAAATGCAAAGCACATTTGCAAAAAAAGAAAAAGAAAAAGTATATAACCATCGAATTAATAACAAATTGACATCTGGGTCTCCGTGCAATTCTCTTTACCTCAATTGTTGCCTCACCAATAATTGACCGTCCATCATTCTTTGCCACCAACAAACTGTAACTCTCATCCACACCCAGTTGCAGCTACACACGTAAAAACACAAACAAAAAAACCAAAAACATCAAATTTTGCAGCAAAAATTATAAACAGATATCAAAAACCAAAGAAACCCACCTCTTCACTCTCAGAGTGAACAACAACGTTCAATTTCCCAATATCAAAACCCGATCTTATTCCTCTAAACACAGAAAAACCATTGAAACTGTGCTTGAAAATGATCTTTCTGTATCTATCAAACGCTTCTCTAACAATTGTAGAGTGGCCCCCATTTCCGGAGACAGACAACGAGAGGGCGGGGTCCACGGAGACGGTATCGTTTCCGGAGGTAAATTGTGCGGGCAAAGGCCAGAGAAAAGGGAGAGAGTCATCGAGGTCGGCAGAGGCAGAAACAGAAACGGAAAGGGTCAGAGCAAGAGAGACGAGGGTGGTAAAGATTATCTTCTTTTGTAACATGATGAATCGATTACCATGAAGCTGGTCAACACACTGAAAAATACAATTGAAACTGAAACTGAAGACAAAAAGAGACGAGTCCGTTAGAGAGAGAGAGGTGTCCGACAGGAGAAGAAGACAAGTGTTTTTAGGTAGTTACTGGTCCTTCAGACTTTAACTTAAAGAAGTAGTTTGGTTGTTGGGAGCAGTATATTCTGTATCCGAAAATCAACCGGGTAATTTTAATCACCTCCAATAAGGTTTGGGAAAACTATCAAAAACCCAGGTATCTTTTAAACTATAAAATGATGCTTAACCTTATATAAACTATCTATCACATTCTCAAAATCGCATAGTTGGTTGAAGATATAGCTCATATATATATACATTGACCGGGAGGAAATTTTAGGCCTCTTCCAAAGATTATTGGGTGTGTTTGTTTTAGTATTTGAAATAGTGTCTAGGCCAAAAATCCTACTGGACTTAACGAGGCCCAATAACAAAATAAACGTGTTATGACCCAAGGCTTTAGTACAATTCTAGTTGGGCCCACGCTTAAATCTACTTTGTGAACTGCCCTTTCCACAAGTTAGGCTACCCCACAAATTAAGCTTGACTGGGCTCCAACCTATCAGCCCACAGCAGTCCGATAAACAGAGAATCAGAATCAAATTCTGCTTCCTCTTTTGGTAAGACCTAGATTCTTGCTGAAATTGGTGAGTCTGATCCGATAAAGACGAGGAATCATATCTCTTCCGGAAGAGAACTCCTCCACAAGACAAGACTTAGGATCCTTTTGGGATTGGAACTCTCGAGGTTCACTATATAAACAGAGGCAAACCCTCTCATGGGCGGTCCTTTTGAGCCCTAGCATTTTGCTCTAAAACCACAGTATTATTCTGTCCCAAGCCTCCACGACTTTGCTGTTTTCCTCGTAGGTCCATTAGGCTGCTAGTGGCCCGCATTACTTGATTCGATCCCGCATTTGTGATCGTAGTTTTACTATCTACAGTTTGGCGCCTACCGTGGGTGAGAATAACGAGGTAAGATTTAAAAATTAACAAAAACATCTCCTACGTTTGTTAATTTACTAAACACTCATGTGACAAAATAATTAAAATTTACAAAAATACCCCCACCACCCATTAAATACCTACAATCAGTCACCACTGTCGGAGGGTGGCTAGAGTCGTCGTATCGATGCACAACCAACTAGATATGGTTGGTTGTGCGTCGAGATGACCTTTTTTCTGCCAGATCCATGATGGATCTGGCTGAAAAATGTCAGATCTACGGCTATATCTAGCCATTGGCAGCCAAATCTGGCTGCGTTTGGTCTTCAACGATGGCCAAAGATATAGCCGAAATTTGGCAAATGTGGGTCGTAGGGGCGTTTTTGTCTATTTTTAAACTTTTTTGGGGGGTGTTTAGTTAAATTAATAAACTTAGGGTATTTAAAATAATTGAATAAAATATAATAGTATTTTATGAATAAAGAAACAAAGGTGTATTTTGGAAATAATAGGTATATGATAGAAAAAAATATTGAAACAAACGGACCCAATTGTTATTGTCCAGAATATTGTACGGAGGGATGATTTGAATAATTTTGCTTCGTAACAGATATATGATTGAAATCAAATGGATGTGTTGTTGACTTTGTTTCGATGATAAGATCAAAACTTGTTATCTTGAAAATCATCGAAACGACTTCCAGGTAAGCTATAAATATCGTAGGAGACCCTAAGTTGGCTCCAAAGAGATTAATAAAATAAGTAAGTATGCGTTTGGTTTATTATTTTGGATAGAATTTTGGGGATAGTATTGGATAATTGAATATGGGAGTATTACGAGGTAAAATTTAAAAATTTATAGAAAAACCCCCTAAGTTTGCTAATTTCATAAATACCCCAACATGTAAATTGACAAAAATACCCCCACCACCTACAGTGCCAGATTCTGGCCACCACAGCCGGAATCTGGCCGGAAAATCGAGTTACGACACAGACCGGTCGGATCTGTGTCGTAACAAGTCGTTATGGCATTTTCCGGCCAGATCCACCATAGATCTGGCCGGAAAAGGCCAGATCTACGACCTGCCGTGGCCGTCGACAACCGAAAAAGGCCAAAGCGACGGCCAAAGATATGGCCGTCGTTTTCGGTCAACGATGGCCAAGATTTGGCCGTCGTTGACCTCAACGACGGCCATTTCTTTGGCTGTCGTTCACGGCTAGATCTGGCCTTTTTCGGCCAAATCCGTGGTGGATCTAGCCGGAAAAGGCCAGATCGGTGAACTTCCGGACATTTATGGTCGGCAGGTTGGCCGTTGTATAGATTTCGGCTACCACCGACTGTGGTTGCCGGAATCTGGCGAGTATGGGTTGCAGGGGTGTTTTTGATAATTTTTAAACTTTTTTTTAGGGTGTATTTGATGAAATTAATAACCTTATAGGGTCTAAAAGTAATTAAAAAAATATGGTAATATTCTTGGAATAACGTGCCAAACATTATTTGGAGAATAGGACCCAGAATCTGAATAAAAATAGTAAGCCAAACATAGTGTAAATTTTTTTAACCGGCAAACCAACCCTTTGGAGTTGTAGACTGTAGTGCTATAATTTAAATAATTCACAATATATTGAATAATATTGGTTGTTTAGTGGTCATTAAGGCTTGAGCTTTTGAGCTTAGGTGGCCATGACTCATTGACCCTTGTTGAGTTGTCCTTTGAACCTTATGGGCTCTAAATTTGGGCCATTAAGCAGTAATCATTTCTCGACAGTAGGCATACCCAAAGGTGGAGTATTAGCCCCTCAACTTCATGGACGAAGCTGGCTAGTGGCAAATAAAATTTCTATGGCTCCGTTTGGTTCACAATTTTGTGTTTTTGGGAAAATTTTTTTGAAAAAAATTAAAAAAAAGTTGAATTGGGCGGGTATTACATGTAGGATTTACAATTTTAAAATACCCCCTATGTTGTTTCTCTTACAAAACCCCCCTTAAATAAACACTTAAAGTTAACAAAAACACCCCCAATCCCCCCTCAAATACGGACAGTCGGCCACCACCCGCCGGAGGGTGGCCGGATCGCCGTAACAAAAACATTAATATTTAGGGGTATTTAATTGATTAACAAATTTAGGGGGTTTAAAAAATGTTGAATAAAGTTTGAATAATATTGTGAGTTTTTTGGTATTTTACTGTTTAACTTTTTTGGGAATGCTAAAAGTAGTATTCCCAAAATCCAACCAAACGAAGCCATATAACTCACTATATTTTCTAAAATGTGAAAAAATATTGGATAGCAAATTGTGGCTGTAGTTTAGTGGTTAGAATTCTACTTGTGGTGGCCGTAGAGACCTGGGCTCGAATCCCACAGCCACACCGTTTTTCTTTTCCTTTTTAAATTTTAAAACAATTGGAAAGTTTGACGTTGCGAAAGGTGATTGGTGGGGCACAAAACCTTCTTTTCACAAATGGGTTTATCTCATTTTAGCATATCTCTTTAATCTTTATTGGAGAATTAGGCCCTACCTTAATGCAAAGTTTTGTCTGTTCCTTCTAATCTATACAACTTTTATTTTATTCATTGCTTTGTCTCTACTTAAACCATTTTTAATATATTGTAAAAATCCCCGAAATGATACTTCTGTCTTTAAATAAGATATTTGACCATTTAACTCACTTTATATTACCATTCAACTTATTATATACAGTTAGGTAGACTCAATAATTAACACTATATGTGTCAAACTTCTTGCTAAATTGCCATATGAACCTAACCTTTTTTTGCCTTTTTTTTTTTTTTTATTAATTCAATATCAAATTGCTTGATTGTCTAAGATGTTGAAAGCTACAACTTGTTATGATCTTTTTGGCTATTAAATTAGGCTTTTATAATTTTTCAATCATTAGATGCTTTAAAAGTGATTCAATTAATTCAGATGTTACAAGTGAGATGACCTCGGATCAAAAGTTGGTATGACTATTACGATGTTCATACCGCTTTCTTCAACACAAATATTGTCAAATTTTTATGTTTCTCATAAAACAAATATTATAGTTCAGAAATTGCTTGATTGTCTTATCTCTGTTTGAGTCTATTGATCGATCAATGATATTTCTCCTAATATCATGTTTTTTGTAACCAAAGATTTGGTTGATTGAATTTTTTATTGGATTTTGCCCAATTAAAAAAAAAAAAAATTCAATCTAAAATTTGAAGCTTCATTTAAAAATTTCTCAAAATTAGAACACTAATATGGGCGGGATCGTGATAGACGTAAATAAGGATGCCTAATATTCTTCAAAATTAATTCGGTGGAGTCCACTCATTGAAAAAAAAAACAACTATATTACAAGTATGAAAGAAGAATTTTGGATTTGTTAAAATAAATGAAATAATTGATGGGCCACGAATCCCACTAACCGTGACACTTCTGTCCGTCTTTCTTATCTCCACAACCACCGTGTCATGCGTATACGTATCTCTTCCTAATTCTTCCCCATATCCATGACATGGGATTCTATGCCCTACACCCACCCCCGCTACCTACACTTTAAAAGGGTTATTATCCCTTACCTCGCCTGACTTTTTGCGTTTTCCTCCTCTGAATTAGAAAATTCTCCTCAAACTCTCCATATAATGTATTACAAAAAAAAAACCCTTGGATATTGAATTTGTTTTCAACCCCTTGTCAATAAGACCTTGTTGCTTGCAACTCCAAAGCCAATTAAATATCTTATTTAATCCTAATTTCACTAAAATAAAAAAATAAAAAAATCAATGAATACAATTTACTTCTATTTTTACAAAAAATATAATAAAATTATATTATTTATGTGCTTCCCTCTCCCTTGTGTGGTCGGATGATAAACCTTTTAGTTATTGGAGTTAGTTATATCCAAAGTCTTGTATTTGAATCGCAAGAGAAACAATTACTGAGTTTACCCAAAAAAAAAATATATATATCTAATACTTAAGGGTTTCATAAGACTTTTTCCTTAATGGATTTGTTATCAAATGGTGGAGTTTGAGAGAATTATTGAAATCTGATGGGAGGTAAGAATGTCTTTAAACTTGTGGGGTGCACTTAAAAACGCAAACCTAAGGAAGTTAGGGATGATATTAATAACTTTAAAAGAATTTTGTACAAAGTGAT